TATAACAAATGTGGATTATAAATAACATAATCACATTGATAAATTAATTCAGATGCTCACAATGAGATTGTTAAACTTTTGCAATTAATTTGTTAAAATTATCATAAAATATTGTCATGTTTAAATAGTCTTGAGTACAGAATAGTCAGGGATGTAGCAAGTTCCCAAATTGACATAAACTGAGAAACAGATTAGTATATCAATGGAATACATGAATTCTAATATGAGTTAAATTTAAATGTAAACAAGCTGAAAGCTATTAATAAGGCACTAGACACACTAGGAAGGAAAACTACGCCAAAGAAATCTTGATCAAGTAGCAGTCTATTAGATTAGTAGTCCAGCATTTTGTAACTTAACACAAAAGAATAAATAAAATAAAACTGCTACTTTCTGGAGTTGAGAATACAATAGATGAGCTAATGTCATGATAGAAAGGTCATGACAACTTCATTCCCATATATTTTGGGGTATAACATTTGATTTCAGAGTTTGACAGCCAAAGCTCCAGTATCCTCAGTTCATGTCTCACATTCATCTCTAATGTCACCTAGCTGACATCTGACACAACTTTGATTTCATAATCTTTATGTCACTTCCATCTGCAAGTCTATCAGCAATGATACCCCAAAGACTACCAGAATTCTCAGTGATTCCTCTGCCAAAACTCTTGTTCACATTCCAACTGCGTTTCAGCTTTATTGCTATGGTTCCTAATCTACCTAATCATAGCTCCTCAGATGAAAACCTCATCATTTACCCCATCCCTTTACATAAATGACTGTTTCTCCTCCAACTTCATTAATTTCATCTATGCTTCTGGATTAATTTTCATGTTTCATGTGAGATATCAAATCTCTGAAGCTTAATCTGCTCCAGCAGAACCATCTGTTAAAATCCCATCGCTAGCCAGCTCCCTCCTTACTGCTGCCTTAGGGTTGTCTGGGGGATTTGCTGCAGATGCTTTGCATGACAGGCAGCCTTCCGTGTTCCTTCAGGCTTGAACCATGAACCAGGCTTGCTACAGGTTCTTGCCCTTACCTTGACTCCCTTATTCCCCTTTCCTGTCACTAGAAAAAAAAAAAAAAAGTTAGTTTGTTCTCATGTCAATGTGGGCATGTGGGCATATACAGGACTTTTGTCAGTGGTGGTTGAAAAAGGTGCTACTCAAACCAGATGTAGTTGTTTGAAGAGATGTGTTTGAAGGCAAGAGGAAGAGGACAATTCCCAGTTTGCGTAACGCAGAAAATAATATTTAACTGAGGTGATTTCCTCCCACCTTTAAAATAAAAATTTTGTCTTCAGAACTTTCTTTGCCTGGATAAAGCATCATTTGTGTATGTTAGTACTCATCATCTCTCTACAGCAAACAGTTTTTGCATGATGTGGTGTTTTCATATGACCTAGGGGCAGCAAGCAGATTTAAGGATCATACATGTAGGGATATTTTATAGTCATTTGGACATTATTTATCAGCTGAGAGCAGCAAATTTTTTAATGTACTTTTCAAAAACGTTCATTCTTGCTGTAAGTACAGGAGAGAATTGGAGGACTCTGTCTAGTCTCTACTTACACTTGTCACGGACAAAATGAAGAACTTAGACATTCTGTACACAAAAAAGTCCTTGACCCTGTGTATGCACCATTCACCAATAGCTAAAATATCCCTGTGTTGTAAAGTAACACTGTTTTGGACACAAATCTCAAACATAGTCCCATACAAGCTACTTTGAAGAAAACTAACTCCCTCCCAGCCATAACCAGTACCCTGATACCAACAGCATTAAGTCTTATGATACTTCTGAAAAAGCCTTCTGAGAAGGCAGCAAACCTCACCTGTGCATGTGCCAGAAGATGACAGGATGAGAAAAAAAACAGGTCCTTTGTCCTGTGATCAGTTACTGCACCAACAACCCTGGAGGGACACCTCTGTACCCTGTTCTGACTTCAAGGTAGGCATAGGTTTTGAGGGATGTAGAACTGGGGTAGTGACAGAGTTTTTATGGTAAGGTCAAAATCCAAGGCTCCTACTTATTTGATTTGGATTTCAAATTTTATACATTACTACTGGTGTGAGTGGATGCAGTGAGGATTATTTTCTGGGCAGAGAAATACTTCATAACTCAACCTCTTCTGAGAAGAGTCGTCTTCCAACTCTATTTGATCTGGTTTGATTTGATCTGATTTCATTTTGTTTCATTATATAAAATATCTGAACATCTGGAAACATGCACTTTAGTTACCAAGTAAAACTCGGTTTCCTCATTCTAACAGGATTGCACTGAGTGATACAGTTTATATGACCACAATAGCAATTTTAGTGTCAGATTGCAGAAGGCTGAGGCAAAACTAAAAGCAGAGAAAAACAGTGCTTAAAAAACAATGATCTGGTTGTAAATCCTTAGGACAATAACATTGGACAACTGAATTGATGACCTGGAATATAAATTCAAATTAAAGAAACATTACACTATAAGAATATTGGAGGCACAGCAACAAAAGAAAAATATGATGCATCATAAAAATGAGGAGACTGAGTAATTCTGAACTCTTTCTAGATGTGCAGCAGTGTGTTGTAATCGTGAGAAACCTAATCAGGTAATGACTTTCCAGTGCTTCCAAAATGTGTGTCTGTTGGACTGAGGCATGATGTTTCTAAACTGCCACATAAATTTGAGTCTAATTGTCAGGGTTCAATACTTTTATTGGGATTGCAGTTTTTTCTCTGTCAATGTCAGAAATGTATGAGAGCATTTATGAACATTAAAAGAGGAATGAAAAATATATGACCTTAGAAGGGGCATTGCTCTATCCTGCCAACCTGGGATTCTATGATGGCAGACTAATGGATGCTGAATTCTTCTGTGTCACATACAAATGTCATTGCATTTCTGGGAAATATAAAGTGTAGGAAGCCAAATGGAAGGACTCTGCTATATACTACATAGTGAACTCTATCCCAGCATTTGCTCAGCTGTGTCATATTGCCATCACTCCAATTTTATTATATCCCCAGCAAAGGACATTGTGTTCTGGCCCACTGGATTCTTGCCCAGTCCAATAGTTTTATACATCTTGCTAGTGCTCTCCTGACTGGCAACTTTTACCGTGTGTTGTTCAACACAATACTTTGAACTTTCTCCTGGTGTTAGTCCCTTCTGTATTTTTTCCTTAACTTTTACCTTTGCTATTTTTCATTACCATGGGAGATGAGCCTCCAAACATCACAGGCATATCTGGATCATAACCATAGTAATTGTAATTGTTGGACAGAAAAAAAAAAAAAAATGGATTTTTCAAAAGGTATTATACTGGGTTCTTTGATTTAAAGATTTACATCTGTTAATGTTGGACACCTACTTGGTTTTCACTTTGAATTAATGCACAGCAACAAAAATCTTTTGTAAGATGAAAAACTCAATAATTCATATTATGGGAAATACTGTCAATATAGATGATTTGCCAACTCATCTATATTTCTCTTTATTTGTTGTGATACTGGGCTTAGATAAGGAATTTTTTTTATAGAGTTGCTGTGATATTCTGGAAATTTTAAAAGCACTGTTTAAAATTTAAAGAGAGTTAGTTATGTTCTGCTGCTGTTTTCTTGCACCCTAAAAATGCAAGTTTCCATCAGAGAATAAACTGTCTCATCATTATTCTAATACATGAAACAGACTATGTGAAAAACCATAGAGAAATTAGTACTGTTTTCTGCATGTTTTTGGTATATATGATTCATTGGGAGAATAAGGTACTGCATTCCTTAGAAGAACAAGGAAATAATGTCATTAGTGCAAAAAAAAAGTTGTTGTTGATATTGTTACAGCTGCAATAATTGTAGCAGTCAGTGATGCAGGTGTGCAATAAAAAACAACTGAAATGACCAAGCTTGCTTTTCATGTTAAGGCTTATATAATGTAAAAGCTGTATAGGAAACAGTGAAAGCCAAAGTGAGGCAGAATACACACATAAAAAACAAGCTTCCTGTATTAAAACTGTTCCTGGATACAGACTTCTGCACAAATCAGGTCCAGTTGGTAGGTTCCCAACACTTACTCTGTTAAATGGCTTTGCTCTGAAGTTCCTGAAATGAATACTAACGATTTTTTTTCACAGTGACAATTTGCAAATACCAGAATGCTGCTGCTACTGCAGTTTGGAGAGATGTTGCTGAGGCAGTCCTCAGCAAGGCTGAACAGCTGGAGTTTGACTCTAAGTGTTCTTTAAAAGGATCTTCTTTCATAATTCTAGGCAATACTGGAGTCACCATGTGCACTAACAGCGTAAAATCAGTGTTCCAGTACCACTTAAATATGAGAAATAATGATATAAACGATGTCAAAAAAAACCCCTAAGAGACCTAAATATGAACTGTTGTAGTGAGTTTCTACATCTTGATTTTAAATTCTAATGCATTTAATTTTCCTCATCACTAATCGAGTGCTGCTTTTAAACTTAATGAAGAAAAAAGAGCAAAACCTTTTTCTTCTGCTTGTTTGTTTGCTTTGGGTTTTGTCTTGGGTTTGGGGTTTGTTTTTTTTCCTTTTTCTATAGTTGTTGCTGTTTTAAAAATAAAAGGGCAATGTGATTTTCCTGCATTGCCTGGCAGTGTGATGCTTAGGAAGCTCTTGCCTAGGTCTTTATTCTGGTCTTATTTAAAGGGAATACATACTTTTCTGCTAGGGAGTAATCTGTGGTGGTTCCATGAAAGAAGCAATTGAAAGAGGCTTGGGAGAGGGGAAAGTGGAAGAAGGAGGAAACTGAGACATCCTTCTTTTTATTTTTTTTTTCAGGGCTGCAGAAGGCAAGCACTGAAGTAGCAAGAGACTTCCTCTTCTCCTGCGTTGAATCTCAAAGAAATCTGCCAGGGTGAATTCTAGACATGCAGGACTTTAGTGCAGATAGCATTGACTATTACAGATTATGTGAGACATGGACACAAATGCTGGCTCATTTCCACCTGTCCCAATTCTACAAAGTTTCAATGAGTGTAGGAGTAAATATTTGCAATTCATAGTTTATTTCCTCACACTCCAGGGAATGATTCACCTGGATGCTCTTAATTTAGTATTATCTGTCCATTTTCTAAAATTGTCCTGTTTTCTCACATACAGGACACTAAAAAAAAAAAAATCACAGAATCATAGAATATGCTCAGTTGGAAGGGACCTACAAGAATCATTGAGTCCAACTCCTAGCACTGCACAGAATCATGCTCAAGAGTCATAACACGTGCCTGAGAGCATTGCCCAAACTCTTCTTGAACTCTGTCCAGCTTGGTGTTGTGACCACTTCCCTGGGAAACCCCTTCCAGTGCTCAGCCACCCTCTGGGTGAAGAACATTTTTCTAATATCCAACCCAAACCTCCCCTAACATAACTTCAGGCCATTCCCTTGGGTCCTGTCACTGGTCACCACAGAGAAGAAACTGGTGTCTGCCCCTCCTCTTCCTTGCACGAGGAAGTTGTAGATGGTGAAGAGGTCTCCCCTCAGTCTTACTGTAAGTCAGAAGGGTCTTGTGCAAAGCTCAGAGGATAATGTTCTGGCATTAAAATAATCTCATTTAGGAGCTGGACACCCCCATGTGCTGAGCTGTGCCTGACTGAAGTTCTGAAGTAATAGAGAAATTCTCCAGTATTCCTAATCCAGTTTCTTGACACAAAGAGAAGACCAGACTTGCTCTCCTTATACATGGCTCTGAAAGCTTCCAAAGGAGTTCACATCAAGAAGTCACAGCGTCTCAGCTTATGATGTCAAATCTTCCCTCCCTCTTTAGCGTTATGATCTTTGTAGACTTTGATTCTCCACTTAATACACCTTAAATCCTTTCTGAAGTGTAAAGTGAAAGTTCTGAATTCTTCTTGCCCTCCTCCCTCTTTCATGCTCACAAACAGAACTGTTTCCGTCAGGCCAAGGTATTCTCCTCATTCATCAGTAATCCCTCTTCTTCTGTGTGCTTCAAACCTGAGCAGGCCAGTAGCCCCAACTACTGATCAGCCCCAGAGCCATGTCCTCAGGCTTACCGTCAACAGCAAGCTTCAGTCCATCCCCAACAGGAGCTAATGTGCTGTTTGGGTGGAGCTGGGATGGCAGGGTGGAATCAGAGCTGTTATAAGGCTAGGTGCAGACTGAGCAGCATTCAGACCATTGTCCACTTGCTTCTGACCCAGACCAGGAAGAAACTCAGACTTCTGAAAGAAACAACAATGGGAAAATGATCAGAAACTAGTACAGGTACTGATGCAGCAGAACTGCTGTCAACAGCAAGAAAAATAAAATGAAAGAAAAGAGATGAATTGGCCACAGGATGCTCAAACTGACTGAGCCTTGCAAGGACCAGAGCTAGTGACTTTAAAGTTAATTGTAGTAAATCCACCCTACCATGCTTGTTTTGTGGGTCTCATCGTTAAAAGTACTGTGGCTTGGTTTTAGTCAAATGCAGTGCACTGAATGCAGAAGGGCTTGTGGACGCAAAATACATGTCTGGTTTTGAAGCTTGTTTCTAATGTGCAATACCTCCTTAAAATATGATTTTTCACCAGAGCATAAAAGACCTACTTTTCTCACACTTGCCGAATATTCCCAAATAATGTGGATTGATCAACAGTTAGAAAAAGCATTTAATCTATATCTAAATTTGAACTTAAATACACTGAGCATATTAAGTTTAGATACATTGTTTAAACACTAAAGACAAAAGCATAGAGTATGATTTAGTTACCTCCACAGCTGAGAAAAGTATCTGAGTTCGTATTTTGGGGTTTACTTCTGTGATTTTGCAAGAAGAAAACCCTTAAAGAAATAAAAGGTTTTCAGGATTATTTTTTTTTTTATCTCTTTCAAGAGGAGCCTTATTATCCAGGCTGAGTTTTGGTATCTGTGTGCAGCTATATTGATAGCAAATAATCAAACTATTAACATTTTGTTTATGATTATTAAGATCACTTAATTTTAATCTTCATCCTTTCCAGCAAATTAAGGCTAACACAGAAATTTGCAGTTCCAGCAAGTTTTGTCTGGAGATGTCAATAGACTCACAAATTGTGACATGTAAATAGATTCACGAATTCGTGTGATGGGTGAGCAACTCACTCATTGGTTAGGCACGAAGGGTTATAGCAAATTGGGTTATGTCTTGCTTGTGACCAGTCACTAGTGCAGTTATACAGGGCTCCATCTCAGGCCCAGCGCTCTTCAACATCTTTATAAACAACTTGGACACAGGACTGGAAGGTATACTAAGGAAGTCTGCCAGTGATACTAAATTGGGAGGAGCTGTTGACTCCCTCAAAGGCAGGGAGGGCCTGCAGAGAGATCTTGACAAATTAGAGGACTGAGCAGTGACCAAGCACACGAATTTTAACAAAGACAAGTACCAGATTCTGCACTCGAGACAGGACAACCCTGGATGTCTGAACAGACTGGGGAATGAGAGGCTGGAGATCAGCCCCCTGGAAAAGGATCTGGGGGTCCTGGTTGATGGCAAGTTGAATGTTGGTCAGCAGTGCCCTGGCAGCCAGGAGGGCCAACCACGTCCTGGGGGTCTCAGGCAAAGCATTGCCAGCAAGTTGAGGGAAGTGACAGTCCTGCTCTGCACTGGGGTGACCTCACCTTTAATATTATGTGCAGTTTCAGGTACCAAAATAAAAAAAAATACATAAAGTTATTAGAGAGCCTCCAAAGGAGGACTAAAAAGACAGTGAAGGAAAGACAGTGAAGAGTCTGGAAGGGAAGCTGTATGAAGAGCACCTGAGGTCATTTGGTCTATTCAGCCTGGAGAAGAGGAGACTGAGGGGAGACTTCACTGCAGTTACAATTTCCTTGGGAGGGGAAGAGGAGGGGCATGCACTGATCTCTTCTTTGTGGTGACAAGTGACAGGACCCAAGTAAAAGGCCTGAAGTTGTGTCAGGTGAGGATTAGGTTAGATATTGGGAAAAGGTTCTTCACCCAGAGGGTGGTTGAGCACTGGAACAGGTTTCTCAGGTAAGTGGTCACAGCACCAAGCCTGATGGAGTTCAGAAAGTGTTTGGACAATGCTCTCAGGCACATGTTGTGATTCTTGGGGCTGTCCTGCGCAGGGCCAGAAGCTGGACTCAATGATCCTAGTGAGTCCCTTCCAAATCAGGATATTCTATGATTCAATGATTCTGTGACTCTGGATTTAGGGTGTTAAAGACAGACACTCTTTAAAAAAGAAACTTAGACTCCTCCAGTTATCATGACTGGTATGGCTATTTAGCTGAAGAAAGAGGTGATATCTGCTGTTATTCAAACCCCTTCTTCTCTAGGACTTCTGAGCCCTATATTATCAGTTGAGAAACATAATTGCAAAGCCTTATCCTAGAAATAATGTTGCCTAAAAATAGTTATTAATTTCTTGTGTGGTATAGAAGGAAGTGTGTGTATTGCAGCTGAGCCCTGATACAATGGCAAATTGAAAAACAGCATATGTCATCCCTTCCTGTACTTTCCTTTGAAAAGCATTTCTGGTGCATTGGCTGAAAGAAGACCAGCATCCCTTAACACTTCCCCTGATTCTCTACCTCCAGAATAAACAGCTTCTGAAGGAAATTATCCTCACAGGCATCCAAGTTCTGTATCCAGCCTGAACTGTTGAGATGTATGTGTTTAGGGAGAACAAGGGCAGGATATTGATCTGAGCATATCAAGTGCCATTTACTCTTAATCCACCTACTGGTTACTTGATCTAACTATAATTTATAATGTATACTCTTATCATACACTGATCTCAGATGTGTGCTTTCCTGGACAAAACACAAACAGGAGATTCAAACTGTTGTCACTAGCACTAAGTGGATTTTGTGGCTATGGTAATATGAATGGAAAGTCAGTGCATTGCGTCTTACTCATATTTCCTCCAGCAAACAGAATCCCTCAGAATTCAGTCGCTTCAGTGAACATAATTTTTTAGATTTTTGAACATGCAGATCTTCTGTTTTGAGTTTTCCCCATAAGCAATATGATACAATTCAAATGTATTAAGCAAAATTTTCTTTGCTTAGCCCAAGCCTTTGTATTTATTATCTGCTCCTTTAACCATCCTGTATGTCTCTTTCTGTAGTTAAATTTGTGTCTCTTTATAAATGATTCTTTAAGAAAAATACATCTGTTCCTCCAGGGTCTTTACCTGCAACGACCAATGACCTGATGACTTTCTGCATCTACTTCCTACATTTGGCATTATTTTGCAACTGAACTTCCAAAAATGGGAAGACCTCACCAAAGGAGTTTCATTTATTCTTACAGATTCTGCCAGTGGAGGTCTTTGCCAGCCCTTATCCCCCTGTTTTCCTTCTCTCCTGTGTCTTTTTAGCTGAAACTTGCATCAAATCGAATATTGAAAAGGTGCAGTGCTTGAAAGGACTTGGGGAGATGCCTGAAACTACAGAAATAGAACAGAAATATATGTGAGAACCACCCACTCCTGCAGACGCAGAAAGCATTCTGCTACTTTCTCTGCAATAACAAGGGAATGGGTGTACCCATCACTTATCAGAAGGTGTCAGTGTTGCCCCTGGCCTTCCCTGTGCAGCAAGGCTGAACAAATGAAAGCCCATGGGTTATTCGTAAAGTTTTCTTTTGCCCTATTAAAATGTATTTAAGCACCTGCACATATGGCTGCAACATTTCAGAAAATATTTCTAGATACCAGTTGGTCTCTGGAAGACGTTTAGTATTGCTGGTAGAACAAAGTGGGGGTGTCAGTGGTGTGGGTGAGAAGGCTAGATGTAACAGGGTTGAATATGCTTTTTATACTGCTAACTTTTGAGCTTGCCAGAGCATAAAAATATTTTAAGTTTAGTTCAGCAATCTTTTATTTGTCAAATAGTAATTGTGCGCATATGCAATTTTTAAATTCCCAGATGCTGAGAGTAAGTCATGGCTTCCCAAAAACAAATTGTCAAAGTGTGCCAAAATGCATTTGAACCCAAAATTTCTGCTCCTTTTGTTCTCATCCAAATCCTTCGACATTGTCACTTGCAGCTAAGGGAAAGGGAAGGAAAGAGATAAATTAGACTGTTCCAAAATCCACAAAGTATACAAAATGCAGAGCAATCCAATCCAGACAACTCCCAGGTGCAACGGAGGTGATATGTAAAGGTCTGGGAGCTCAGAAACACCTCACTGAAGCCTCCCAGCCGTAAAGCAGTTCTGCTATCTGTTGTATTCATACTTTTGTTCTTGCCAGAAACATTAAATTTATGTCTATTGTACTTTGTCAAGTTTACAGCCCTCCCCCCAGCCCAAATACCGTTACTTTTTTCTTTTTTAAAATTATGTTAACAGGGCAAAAGGCATAAAGTTTTTGGATGGTTCAGCCTTAAACTAGTAAAATTTTCAATGTTGGCAGGGATTTTTAATGATTAGATTACACAAATAAATATATTCTCTTGTGCTGAATAATGCTTTTGCACTGAATTAAATGTTTCAGGAAACAAATAAAGGAGGAGGAACTTGTTATATAGACATTTTGAGTTTGGATAACTTCTTCTTTTCCAATACTTGATCAGATTATTTCTAAAACCTGTGAGAATATTCAGTTAATAGCATTTTAAACATTGGGATATTCTTATCGTGGTTTGCATGTTTCCAATTAAAAGCCTTATTCTGTTGCCACTGGAGTAATTGGCAAATTTTCCATCATCTTCAGTGACTGTAAAGTGAAGCCTAAATGTTTCTACTCTGCTAGATTAATACAACCATTTTAACATTTTTGACCTCCTCAGGTAAATAACTACCAAATAAAACTGTGCTGAACCCAACTAGCAAAAACCCCACAAAGTTTAGGCAAATAGTAGTAGATTTTTATTCTCTATCTCTTGAAGCAACTATCATCTGGTGCTTCAAGGACTTAATTAATTGTATTTAGCTGACAGCATTATGCAGCTCATGGACTGAGGCAAAGAACTTTTTCCTTAATTCTTTCAATAATTAGCTTATTCCTTGAAGCAAAAGTTATGATAATATTTAAGTCTAGTTCATGCAACAAAAGTCATGTTTATCTATAATACCATTTAGTACATCTAAAATTAGAGGTTAGAACCCTGGATTCTGGCCTCCTTTAACAGAGAATCTCAGATGACAATTTCAAAGAAAGACTGGTGTCTTTTCTTGATTTTGTTCCAGTCCTGCAAAGGAAACTGCTCTCTCTATTCACTAATAAGACCT